AAGTGGGCTGGTTCTATTTTCAGAATGAAGAAGAATTTGTGTGCCTGAAATCCCATCCAAGTTCTTCTAACTATATCAGTCAGTCTAATAAAAGAGATTACCTCTTCCTACAGACCTTGCCTCACATTCTTCAGGCACAGTGACTACGATAACGGTGCTTCCTCATCTTTCCTGTTGCTTCTCTGCCACCTGCAGTGCGCAGCTTGAATGTACAAGACAGAAGAGTTGGGGAAGCACATGAAGGTATTTCCTGACTTTACAGTGTTTCATTTGCAAGCTCAAAGACCCTCCTGGGACAATAGAAAAAATTAAGTTGGAAGGGAGCTTACCCAGTCCAGCCCTATTCCATGTTGGGCTAAGAAATTTTGATCAGATGCTCAGGACCATATCCAGCAAAGTTGCCAGTACTTCCAAGCATGGAAATTTCACAACCTTTTTGGGCATGTGACTTCAGTGCCGAACTATTCTTGCTGAGAAGACTTTTTCCTTACGTCCAACCTATTTTTTCCCATGTTGCAATATGTGGCTATGGCCCCTTGCCCTTTCACCATGCACTTCTGAGAGAGAGACTTTACCACTCATTGCAGTGGGAGACTGCAGTTTATTTCATGCCTCTCATTAGTGATCTAATCTCTGGGCTGTACAAAAAAGTTCCTCCCAGAGTGGCCTGTGCTTCAGCCTCTCAGCAGTCTCACTGTTTCTTTGCTGGACCCTCTAGATTGTCATCATCTTACTTGCTCTACAGGGCCTAAAACTGGACATCATGTTTCAGGCATGGCCCAGCTAGTGCAAAGCAGGGGGAATAAGAGCTTTCCTTTGTCTGCTGGCTGTGAACTTGCTTGTGTAGCCTAGTATGTGATTAGCTGTCTCCATTGCAAGGCACACTGCTGTCTGTTGTGCAATTTGCCCAGAAGGATCTCTTGAGTACTGTTCTGCAAAGCTGTTACCTGCTCAGTTCATCCCTAGCATATGTGGGGTTAGACCACCCCAGCTGTAGATGTTACAGTCCTCCTTTTTGACCTTCAAGACATTTCTGTTGGCCCATTCCTCCAGCCTGTCAAGGTCTCCCAAAATGTTTTTTCTATCTCCCTACTTTTTGTTAAGCATTTAGTTTCCTGACCTCTTGTGCTTGTATTTGTTCTACGCAGGCATGTTCAAAGACCTAGTTCCTCCTCAGAGCAGTTTTTTTTTTATTATAGATTATAGAGACATGGTGGGATGTGTTTGTAGAAACAGACTACTCTTACTTGCACTGGAGATAGTCTTGGAAGAGGAAGAGCCTGTGCTACCCAGCATGTTGCCCAGTGCCTTTGAAAATTTTCATTTTTTTAATGGCCTCCGACTTACCATCAGAAATGATAGTGACAGGATGCAGATGTATGCCCCAGCAGGAAACACAGGCCCTGAGGTGTTCATCTTTCTTATCTGATCATTGACAGTCACTAAGGAGACAAAATAGAGAATTCCCGCTCTTGAACTGATTAAGGAAACTGTTTTAATCAATTTGCTTTCTTTTGCTTCATGCCTTACCTTGTACTTTATCTCACCTCCTATCCACTTAGACCTTAAATCTTCAGCTTAAATGAGGCCTGAATTAAAGGCTACTTTTGTGTAGAAGTTTTCAGACTACCACGGTCCACCCAGAGAGAAAATGAAAGGACAGCATCTGAGTATGAACTTACCCCAACCCAACTCTAGACTTTCCTTCAGGGCCATCCCATTCTTTTAGAATAAGTAACAGTAATCTCCACAAGAGGGTTTTGTGTCAGTTTAAAGACAGAAAAGAGGAGCAAATATGATCAGCTAGGCAGATCTTTCTCAGTAGCAGTGACTGCAGCTTATCCTCTATTCAAGATGCCGCAATATGCATGTTTCTGTGAAAAAAAATCACAGCGTTATTATCATTGTCATTTCCATCTCTCCAGCACAAGTCAATCATAGTAACAATTAAACAGTTCTGGAATTAAAAGTAACATTTTAAAAGGAGACAGGTAAAAGTGGAGTGTCAAGGAGGGAAAACTAAATGGTTTGTTTCCCCCTCCCCTTTGTATCATATTATTGATGAAAGAATAGTATAGTTCTGCCATATTAGATAAGAGTTTATAAAATGTACTGTGCTATATAAAACCTACCCATATCTGCACGCTTTCTCCTACTTCTCTTCAGTGGTCCTTCTTCCAGTGAGTCAACCCCAGTTAAATTTATTGCTCCTTGGTATGTATATGAAGGCTCTGACTGCAACCCATTAAAATACATGCTTCAAATACCATTTAATATCATGGAGATTCTGTGGGTTATCGTAATGTCTAGGATAATAGGTCAGGATTTGACCTTCTGACTGTCTTTCAGTTTCTCAGTTGGTTTTCCTGGGTAGCAAGAGCAGTTAGAGTCTGCTCTTGGCCACCTCAGGCTGCTCATTTGGAAACTGGGAAAACTGGGAAAAGCAAGACATAGTCTGTAACACTGGAGATTTTTTTTTTCTAATATTTGAACTCCTAAAATTTTTCCAGCCATGCTACAAGCATGTTTTCTGCTGTATTTTCCTCTTTTAATCTATTCTTCAGGCTAAATTAAATTCTTACACCCACATACATTTTCTTCTTGTTTGTAGTTTCAACTCACTCTCTTCTGGAATCCTCCAGTTGTCTTAAATGTTTCCTGAAGATCAGTGCCTGAAACAAGGCATAAAATTTGGCTGAAGCCACTTCTGTGTTGGGAGCACGGACAGGAGTATTTCACATATTTTACTATATGTGAAACACTGTTCTGTATATCCCAAAATGGCATTTGTCTTGCTCACCATACTGGCAGTGTTGATTTGTTCTGACCATGTCATTCACCATATTCCCTAGATATTTTCTAAATAAGTTTCTACTGAGCCAGCTGCTGCAGGCTACTGGGAAGCTGCTTGTTTGTGCAGATATTGAAATTCATCCAGCTGTTCTCAGAACTTTCCAATTTATCAAGAACATTTTCAGTTCCAATCCTGTCTTTAAGAATATCTGCATCCTCTCTCCATTTCATGTCATCTTCAAATTTAACAAGCATACTGTGTATTCCATCATTCATAGTGTAAACAAAAATGCTGGGAAAATTAGATACAAATTCAGGATAAATGTCCATATAAAACTGCTTTGTACTTCTTCCATTTGGACAGGGAATCTTTATAACTACTCTTCGAATGTAGTTTTACAGATTTCTTTATTGTTTTTATTTTGCACCCATGCTAACCAATCTCCACCTAGACAATTTCTTTTTGTTTTTCTTTCTCATGGGACTACTACACAAGAAATGCCAAAAGCCCAAGTAAAGTAAAAATATGCAACAGCTACTGCTTCTCTCCTGCACTAATGCTCTTAAACCACCTGTTATTCACCCAGATTTTTTTTTTTTTTGGAAAGTTGAAGGTGAAATTGGTGAGATTTTCTTCTCACCTTTCTCCCTTCCTTACTTCTTTTACACACAGACTCTGTACTTATGCTGTTCACAGCATTGGTGGCTCACCAGTCTCCAGCCATCCTTAAAAGTAACAGCTAACGTGTCTGAGACTGTTTCAGGCAGTTTTTCACATATTCTATATGGCTGTTCATCAGTAGCCAAATTAGCACACATTACGTTGAGTGCTGCCTAATCTACTCATTCAGGCTCTTAGATTTTTTAACATTTCTTTTCTCTTGCTGATGTTACCTATATCAGCCACTTACTAACCTTTCCAGTGATTAGTGAGGAAAAAGGAATTATTTGACATTCTGAAGAAAGGGACCAACCTTAGGCCCAGTGTAAATGAATGGGCAGAAGAGGCTGCACTCACAAGCAGAAGAATTCATGGGGAGACTTAGGGGGGAAAAAGTCAGAAACTGTGTTGTCAAGGAGTGTGGGCAGAGGCTGAGCTTTGCAGGACCCACAGGTGCCTCCAGGTCTGTCTGATTATTTGTATACTGCTGTGGTTAAGAAACATAGAACCCTTAAGGTTGGAAAAGACTTTTAAGATCATCAAGTCAAACCATTAACCTAACACTACCATGTTCATGACTAAAACCATATCCCCAAGGGCTGCATACACACACTTGAATGCTTTCAGGGATGGTGATTTCACCACTTCTCCAGGCAGCCTATTCCAATACCTGACCACCCTTTCAGTGAAGAAATTTTTCCTAATATCCAACCTAACCCCACCCTGGCACAAGGGCCATTTTCTCTTGTCCTTTCACTTGTTACCTGGGAGAAGAGCCCAACCCCCTTGTTCTTGCAACCTCCTTTCAGGTAGTTATAGAAAGCAATAAGGTCTCCCCCAAACCCCCTTTTCTGGGCTAACCCCAGTCCCCTCAGCCACTGCTCACAAGACTTATGCTCCAGACCTTCACCACCTATGATGCCCTTCTCTGGACATGCTCCAGCACCTCAATGTCTTTCATGTAGTGAGGGGCCCAAAACTCAACACAGTACTTGAGGTGCAGCCTCACTAGTACCAAGTACAGGGAGATCACTGCCCTGGTCCTGGTGACCATGCTATTCTTGGTACAGGTCAGGATGTTATTGGCCTTACTGGCCGCCTGTACACTTGCTGGCTCGTGTTCAGCCAGCTATCAACCGGAGAAGGTAGAAGAAGGTAGCATATTTTTGTAGGCTAGAGTATTGTAAAATACTCTCTTCTAAAAGTGGAATAGTTTTGTTCTGTGTGGAAAGACTTTTTTAATCTAAACTATTCCCCTTATAAAGTGTATTTTGTCTTTCCTTTTTCTTTTAAAGTGTGTGCTACAACAATCTATTTCACCATAGAAAGAAACTGTCAAGCGAGGAGTCTGGCTAATCTCTCAGGTAACGTGGAAACAGTCAACAGAACAAATGTTAAACTTTACACCTCTGGACACTTAAATCATAGCAAGCTTTATAAGCCTTCAGAGAAAATAAAACAGGGATGATGGTACTCTGCCAGGGAACAAACTAGTTTCATAATGGAAAGAAATCAATTCCCAGCTGAAAATGAGAGAGCAAGGAAGATGAAAAGATTTTCAGGTAACTTTTGTTCCAGCTTCCAACAAAGGCTGAATCTTCTTGCCCTAGCAGCAGACATCCACAGTCAACTGTGACTGGTGTTAGTGCCTCAGCAGATTTTTCTATTCCACTGGAATTGCTAAAGTGGAAAGCACTTAAAAAGAAAGCAGAGGATGGAACTGACAGACTCCATGAGAGTCATCAAAGTGAGTCAAGATGAGTTAGATGTGTCAGAGACTGTGATGCTGAAAAAACAAACTGAACAGCTGACAGTGTGCTGTAGAGCTTGTCAAGGAGGAATACCAGTTCATACCTTCATACTTGGCCAGTGTAGCTAAAATGGAACAGTTTGACAAGTTCCTAGATTTCCAGAAGGAGTTTGTAGCAAACCGTGAACTGTTACAGAATGATTTAACAGGGAGAAAAGTATCAGAGCAGCATGAAAGTAAGCTGGCTAAGGTAAAAAAAAAAAGTCTTCAAGTGGATGGAAGGGTAAATTTTGCATTATCTTTCTGGTTAGATTGGTTGTGTGTTCCAGGAAAATGGAATGGGTTAGCCAAAATCACCTCTCTCTTCTTCTCAAAGACACAGTCCCTGGTGTTTTCTTAGTTGAGCACATGTAAGACACATCTTCTGTGTGTTCCAAAACACTGAGCCCAATGCTGTTATGCCACTGTTTACCCTTCCCTCCATTGTCATGTGGAAATGTTGTGTTAAATATACAATAAAACAAGATCTTGCAAGCTGGTGATCTGTACAGGAAAAATCACTGTTGGTCAGCATCTCTGTGGGAACTGTACATTCAGCACATTGTCCAGCAGCATGTTTGAGATAATTTTTATAAGATGTTGCCTTCTCTATGTGTTCTGTAGACTATCTCTTTACACACAGACAGTTGTTGCTAACTCTCCCCTTGTGATGAGTGGGGTGGGGTGTGAATTTGATCACTGAAACACATACACTTCGTAGAAGCTACTGTTGTTGCTTGAGTTGCTGCCCCAGGGGAAGTTTAACAATCTCAGCAGCACTCATAGCCAAATGCAGGAGTGAGAGTAAGCTCCTGGATTCATAGAAACTAGGGATGGAACTTAATGAAAGCATTTGGGGGTTGGTAAACTAAGAAATGACTAGGCTAGTGTGGGCTGGAAAAGAACTGATATTTCATGTACATGAGAGAAATTTTTGAAAGAACTTGGCATTTTGTCCCTCACTGTGGTACTTAAGGTCAGATTTTCATCCTTTGTAAGACGCCAACTCATTTATCAAGGGTATTTTACAGAGAATTTAGCAGTGGTGTTTGCTGGACTGTGGCTACTAACAGAGAAAACAGAGGTCAGGCTTGACTGAAACAGCCGTCCCAATAGGAGTCCTATGTATACCAGAAACTGGAAAAGAAATGATCAAGCAAATAAGCAGAGGTTAGTCCTGTATGCCTCCAACATACCTCAAGAAAAGTTATGCAAATTAGGGAAGTGAGGCAACAAATTCGTTCAATCTACTTGTGGGTATAACTCTGGGAGAAGCAGCATAATCCATGTTCCCTTGAATTCTATGAGGTATCGTCTGCCACACATTTAACCAACTAATCAAAAAAGATGGTTACTTCACACCTTGGTAAATATCCTCAAGCAACCATTCTTCTATGCCTCTAGGTTGAGAGGCCAGAGTTCAGAGGAAGAAGAGAGAGGGGAGAACAGAAGTGAAGTGCAGTATTGTATCAGGATAACAACTTGATCTTGTAACTTTTGAAGTATGTTTTCCCAGGAGATATTTTACCCAGAAACAATTTGGATCAATACAATTTTTGTGAGATAGTGTAACGCTGGCACAAAGCTTAGCAGAAAACTGTACTAACTAGCAGTGATGGCAATCTTTTCCCTTTAATTAAATGGTCAAAATTTCTACCAGCTTTGGGTTGAAACAAGGATATTCACAAAGTAAAAAACTGCTGTAGTATATTACCTACCAAAAAGGGTTGTAGTTAAAAAGGTAATCGTAGGAACAGAGCACTTTGAAGTGAGCCAACAGCACTCTAGAGAAAAAGTTCCCATGGCAGAGGAACCCAGTAAAAGTTGCCAAAGAGAACCTTTCTTCTCTCTCCCAGATTTATTACTCAGAGTTGGTAATACACAACCATGAGATTTTAAGTGTATTATTTTAACTGTTATATTCCTTAGCTAGGGGTTCTTGGGTTATTTATATATTAATTATGTCTCTCTGTGCTAACAGTTACTTTAGGGAATGCAACATATTCCAAGAGTAGGTTCTTGTCAAATCTGGAGATGACCTGTTGAAGTCACTAGAGATAAACAGGCTTATTTATGATAATGGAAGGATTGGCTGTAAATATGTAAGCAAGATATACAACAATTAATTGAAGCATAATTTAGTAATTGCCTTCTGCCACACAAATCTGTCTTGTTTTCAACTAGTCTTTTTCATGATTAATACAATTGTTGATTGTACACTTTCTTCTTACTGATTTTTGCTATGACCAGGACTTTGTCTGTATTCTCATGATATTTCTTACTGCATACCATGAGGGGAATGACATGAACTTAAACAAAGAGATGCATTCTGACAGTAACTGTTTTAGAGCACTTTCTGCCTGTGGAGGATTGTAGTCATTAATTTTGGCGATTGTACAGGAACACCAGATAACATGTGCTTGTGATCCCCTCCATTTCAAGCAACTACAGGTTGTTGAGGAAGCATTTGAAGATATACGCAACAGGTCTCTGATATTTTGTGGTATTCTGAAGTAAATGAAGAAAATAAATATTCCTACACTTTTGCCCAACGTAAGCTAAATGTACCTTAACTATTGTTTTAAAAGTTTTATCTCATAACGCCTTTTGTCAGTGTTTTCTCAGTGCATCTGGGACATTAAACTCTTTTTATCTACAGTGAGGAAACTGATTCTCACAGGGGTTTATATTCTTCAGGAGAATATATTCTCTGTCCATTGATCACATGTTAAAATCAAACATATCTAACAAAATTCATGGACTTTTAGCATTTTTTAAAAAAATTTATTCACTTGTGGTCTCAAAGGGAATGATTGATTTGTTCCTTATTTTTACTTCTTCTCCCATTGTACACAGATAAGCAAAAAAGAACAGAGAATAGAAGTGTTAAGAGATATGCCTCTATAGAAAGTTGATTTCCAGTCTGCTCAGTGATTTGAGCTGGCATAATTTCCTTCTATAAGCTTCATCATGGTAATGGAGAACAAAGAAATTACAAGGAATTTCACACCTCTGTGAAATTTAGTACTCAGAGTCAGTTATGGGCACTCCCTGACCTTATCTTTGACACAGGAGATCTAGTGCTCTCCCTTTGCTTCATTGCTGACCACAATTTCTGTAGGAGCAACCCACAGTAGAGAAATCTGAGACAGCAGCTCCTTATAGAATAAGCAGAGCATTGGCTGAATAGACTTAGCTGGATTTCAGAAATGCCAAACCTATTGTCCTTCTTTCTCCTCTTTGGTAGAGCCACATCAGACTTTTTGCCAGCTCTACTGTAGAAATGCTGCTGAATAGAGGGTGATATTTGCCTCAGGCTTCCAGGAATAGTGCTACACACCCTTTTACCCTTCCCCTCTCACCAGTGACACCTTAATTTTGGTAAAAGGCACCAGTAAAGGTGTCATCCACTATGGAAGTAGAAGAGGAGCACAGAGGAGATGTCAAGCCCTGAGGGCAGAGCCATATCTGACTGGCCCTGCCCAGGCCTCTGGAGCCTCTTCCCATCCTCAACCCATTTCAGTCCAGCCTGGACCTGTCAGTCCCTGCCCATTTCTCTATCTCATCCTTTTGTATTCTTTCTTTTTTTTTTTTTTTTTTTTTGCTTTCCCCACTCCAAAACTAGCCCCCTTTGCTTCTGATAGCTCTTCAGGCCCATGTTCTCCAGAGACAATCCTTTGGACTGGCTCTGAGGATTTCACCCTAGTTATCCGCTCTCTTTGACACAAAGCCTCGGAGTGTCTGTGTGATATTGACAATGTGTTGAAATGAAAAGGAAAGGTAATGATGAACAGGGCACAGCTGACAGCATAAATGCTTTGTCTAGGTTGAGTAGCACACTGCTCAGTGGCAGAACACCTGAAGGAATTGTCCAAAAGCAAGGAGTTTTCACGAGTCTAAGTCGTCAGATTTACTGGCTGACACATTCAGAGAATCATCCATACTTTTTTGTTTTATCTGTAACAAACCTTTAATCTGTTTGCAAATGGAAAGAGCTTTAAGTGACTCTGGAACCTGCTATAAGGGGTTTTTTTGTTTATGTTAACTCTTAGTCTTATCAACAGCTTGTTCAGAAGTTTTTATCAGAACCGAATTTTACCAAAAAGTAATTTTAAAAATGGTGCCAGAACCTGCGGCAAAAAAAAAGCCCACAAAACTTTATATTTTACTCTTTTTCATGCACTCATGGGATCTGAAGATTTGGGTCAAAGGGATGGAAACAAAGACTTCAAGGGCTCCAGAAATACAAGTACTCAGGAAAGATGTTCAGGTTCTCATGCAGAAAGCCAGTACTGCTCTAGGAAGAAGTAAAGACTCAGTGTTACAAATGCTATCAACCGCTGTAGCAACAACAAAGTAGATGAGGTAGAGCAGAAAAAAGTAAATAGAGTTTCTTGATTTTTTTAAATGTCAGGTCTTGAAGGAAAGGCCAAAGGATTAGACCTTGTGGATGACCTGTTTTAGGCAAAAACCTTTATTTTGTACCAATCACATTGGGAGATGGGGCTAAACTCTGAGTAGGACCAAGACTTTCTTTTACCATTCCCAGCTGACCATCATAGAGAATTCTCCTGACCACACAGGCTGCAACCTGCACTATTAAATTTCAGACTGTGTCACCTTTGTTGGGGTGTTGATTTTATTCCTTCCTGTGGAGGTAACAAAGCCTAATAAGCCTCCTAAGGCTCCTTGTCTTCTTTGGACTGACCCAGTGTTTCCATGCCTCTGGTGCATGCCCCTGATATTTTATATCACAACTTCCAAATCTCCTTACTACTGCTCCAAGCTCTGATCTGACTTTCTAGCCTCAATATTTGACCCTATGATTATTTAATTCTAGAACTCTAACCTTCATGCTTGAAAGATGTCCTAACGAGATCTTGCCTACCAGCTTTCTTGCTCTTGCCCACTTCACTGTCTGAACCTGAAGAATTACCAAGTCACTATTTCACTAAGCTGCTGGTTCTCTTCTTCCCCTTCTCTTTTTCTTGTAAATATGAATCTAGATGACTCAAGAGGTCTTTTATATCTTTGCAATTGTTGTTTCCAGTGTATTTTGTGTGATCATTTTACAATATTTACCCTTGCTTTCAACATGTAGTTTGGATGATTCTGCAGTTAAGATACTGGAATGTGAAAGAGCTTTATGTTCACTAGTTTTTGTTAGTGTAAGCAGGAAGATGATTAACAGTGAACCAGTAATCTACATGTCTATATTTTTCTACAGAGAGAGAATTCATGATGTGTTAATGTGGGATAGTCAAACTGGCATGAATTTAAGATGGATCGGGATATTGTGTGGGATATTTATAGGGCATGCACATGCAAATTTTATCTAGGCTATTCAGAGGTTGGTTTTGGTGCAAGCTTTTATAAATATCTTAGAGATAAAAGGGAAAATTATGATATTTTGTCTTCTGCCAAAGTTCTGAAAGGAAATAATGATAAACATCCCAGAATTATCTAAAGGAGTTCTTGAGAGATTTGTCAGCTATAGGTATAAAAATCCAATACCCCATAAGACTGTTCAGTTCTGAATAGCAGTCTGTTTCCAGCATAGTCTAGGAACATGTGCTAATGTCAACTTGCTAGCTTTGCATGAAAACTAATAATGAAAATTTAAGTAATTAGTTGCTACCTGGAGCCTAAGACTGAATCTTTCCTCTTGCCATGGGTCATGTGTTAGTCCTTTCTATGTATACCCACCTTGGAGGGTGGGTAGAGGAAAAGATTTTCATACGAGACTTATGTCTTTTTTAAAATAATATTAGTTAGTAGATGTTAGAATGCCTTGAAGGATTTTTGAATACTGATGATGGTAGAGGAAGTAAGAGCACTTTGGCCACAACAACCCCGTGCAGTGCTAGAGGCTGGGGACAGAGTGGCTGGAGAGCAGCCAGGCAGAAAGAGACCTGAGGGTACTGATTGACAAGAAGCTGAACATGAGCCAGCAGTGTGCCCAGGTGGCCAAGAAGGCCAATGACATCCTGGCCTGTATCAGGAACAACGTGGCCAGCAGGTCCAGGGAAGTGATTCTTCCCCTGGACTCAGCACTGGTGAGGCCACACCTCGAATACTGTGTCCAGTTCTGGGCCCCTCAGCTCAGGAAGGATATTGAGGTACTGGACCAGGTCCAGAGAAAAGCAACGAGGCTGGTGAAGGGACTTGAGCACAAGTCCTATGAGGAGAGCCTGAGGGAGCTGGGATTGTTCAGCCTGGAGAAAAGGAGGCTCAGAGGAGACCTCCTCACTCTCTACAACTCCCTGAAAGGAGGTTGTAGCCAGGTGAGGGTTGGTCTCTTCTCCCAGGCAACAAAGAGGGCATGGTCTTAAGCCCTGTCAGGGGAGGTTTAGGTTAGATATTAGGAAAAAATTATTTACAGAAAGGGTAATCAGGCATTGGAATGGGCTGCCCAGGCAGGTGGTGGATACTCCGTCCCTGGAGGTTTTTAAGATGAGACTGGATGTGGCACTTAGTGCCATGGTCTAGTAACCATGGCGGTGTTGGACCAAGGGTTGGACTTGATGATCTCAGAGGTCCCTTCCAACCTGGCTGATTCTATGTATGCAAGTATGTTTCTATGTGATATATAAAAATATGCAGAGAACTAAGCTGTCCAATTACGTTATTGTTATACCTATGTGGCTTCCTAAATATGTAAGTAATAATGTGTAATTTCTTCAATAGTTTCATTCATTGAACAAGAGGTTTCCACTTGGGAGAGGAAGCTGTGGTTTTAATGCAGTAGAGAGTAATTGTTTGAATCCTGTTAGGTTCTCACAGAGAGTCAATTCTCTCCTTTTCATCATTGGGCATTCAAATCTGGAGTCACTTTGCTGTAATTCAGTGAGCTTTAATTTTCTCTCTGCCCTGTTAGAGCAACATTTAACCTCTGAGAATGTGTAATAATCTTCATTATACATAACAACTATTTACTTACATCTATCTTTGTATATGATCTTGAAAAGATACTTGTGAAACTGTTCTGTTTTGTTCTAGTCTAAGTTGAAGAATTAATTAGAAACAGTGCTACAGATGAGCCAGACTCCAGAAGATAAAACAGGTGAGTGATAGGACAGTTTTGAGTTGAGTCAAAAGGCAATATGGCATAAATTATGGCAAATAAAGTGTTCTAAAGTGTTGCAAAAAAAACCAATCAAAAATTGCCTTAGCTGTTGGGATTTTTTCTGTTAGTGTGATCAAAATATACTGACATCTAATGAAATAAGGTACATAACATCTTTCCTATACTTCTTTCACTCCAGATCCTATCTGAAACCAGTAGGTGTCAGTGGGAGACTCTAAAATGTTAGAGATGTCTCAGGGGATGGCACATGAAACCCTTCATCTGGCAGAAATATAATAACTGGATTTCATCCTTATGATGAGGAGGTTAAGCCCTGAATCACGTGCTTTCACATACCCTTCCTAAGCTTCTTTTCAGTCTTCACTGTATCAGTCCTGAGTGCTCTAGTTATCCATACAATAGTCAAGTCCCTATTGAATGCTTGCTCAGTGCTTTTGTTCAGTAACAGCACTGAGTTTTACAGTCTATTTATGTACTGCTCAAGAAAGTAGTGTCTTTTGATAAGGCCTTTGATCAGTGGAATCTGAATCAGGATCCTTGAGTAAGATAAAATAGACAAATCTGAAAATTGTGAAAGAGTAAAAAAAATTGATGAACTAAGAAATCCTGTGTAGTGTCATCAGTATAAAGTATAACTGGTCTGACTGTAGTACACCTGCATTTTATGACTTCATTGAAAACCTGTTCTGAGAGCACAGTTTTCTTCCAGACCATGAGAACATATCGATTAGCAAATTACAGTGTGGTAAATAAGGAAATAGCTGTTCAAGTGGTGATGTAAAATGCCTTCTACACTTCGTCTTTAAGAAAAGAGGAAGATCCAAATCTTTCTCTGAAATGTCTGAGTGTTCTAGTGTCCTGCTCCAAGCTATGGCCAGTTGTTAGCTTCATCATGGGCAGCTCCTACCACTGGCACCTAACTCACTTTTGCAAACATACCTTCTGCAGGAGCAATGCTTAAACAGTCAAACCAGCTGTGGTTGTGGGCTTTTTTTTTTTTTTCCCCAGCAATTAAACAGGCCCAAATTCCTCTCTAGTGTAGCTGTCTTCCTGTCAATGAACATATGTTTGAATGCACCTGTTCTGATTATTTCATTTCTACAGCATGGTACAGATTTTGAATTTCATTGCTTTGCAGTCTATCACTAAAAAAAGCATAAAATCAGTCATTGGCTCTGGATCTCCCACAGGACTAGTGAACAAAACAAACAGAACTCTCCAGGCCAGGGCATATCTAAGACATGGTTTTGCATAAAATGAGCTAAAAAATATTTAAACAATGGGTAAAGATTTCTCCCCTTCTCCTCCTTACCAGATACTAATATAAGAAGTACTAACTCAGCTTCAAACTTTCCTTCCCTACCTTCCTCAATTACTCACTGAGGAATCAAAACCAACCAAGTCAGAAAAATGTAAATGTTACAGGGTTTTTTTTGTGTTACAGCTGTATTTAGAAGGCTAAGCCAAGAAATTTGGGCTAAATATGCTAACATGTGCTGCCACTATAGGGAACAAAGCTCTACAAATATCTTTTGCTTTTTTTGTTTGTTTTTGTTTGTTTGTTTCTGGTTTTTCTTTTTTTGGTTGGTTGGTGATTGTTTTTTTTTTTCTGATGTGGGATGCTAAACAGTTAAAAAAGTGTTCAATCCAAGGTAACCTGATACGAGAATGTTACAATTTTCCTAGAGGAAAAATGGAGATTTGATTATATTTTTAAAAATTGAATAAAAAGTTTTCTTAATATTTTCTAAAACAGAAGGCATTATTTTTTTCTCTCCAGATAACATTTCTGTAAGGCCCTCCCAGGACCAGTAGCTTATCCTAATCCACTGAGTGAAGATATGCTGTCTATTGTTTGTAGTAGTTCACATGAAAATACAGGATTTTTGAGAAGCCAGTAGCCATTAGCTTCTGGGACAGGGAGGGGCAGGAAGCATGGCCAGGCCCTTTCCCCACATGAGGCAGTGCATCACTCAAATTTGACTCATGCTCTCTTCCTCCAGCCTAGCTCACTTTTCATCAAAACTGTTGGCTCTCAGTGACCTTTTGACTGTGTGCTGACACTGCCTCACAGACTAAAGGGAGGAAGAGCAGGGCTGGCTGCCCATGACAAGCTGCTTAGAGAGTAGGAAATTCAGGAGATCACAACAGGCAGTCTTTAATTGCTGAAACATCATCATTACTCAACACAGTACCTAGTCCTGAATTTGACAGCATGGCACAAAGCTGCTACATTGCAAATGTGGCTAATGAACTCTGAAAACCCCTCCCAGCTCCAGGGCAGGCCCTGAGTCAAGAGGATTTTCTTGACCTGCTCATGACAGCAGTCAGACAAGCCAGGGAGCACCATTAGGGGTTCTCACAAGGCAAAGAAAGGCCAGTTCTTCCTTTCTGTGTTCTCACTCCCTTCACTGGTGCATTCCCTCTCTCTATCCTTCCCCTCTGCAATCGCAGAGCCTTGGAGGTGTAACCTTGCACTTTGTCGTCTTTCCTGGGTATTCCATTCTCCATAGCTTCCCTTACACACTAACACCAAGAGGTGAACCAGGATGTGGGAGACAGATAAAACAGGATGATTTTCACCTGCACCATCACCAGGGAAGAAAGTAGTTTATTTGTATGATTACAGACCACTGGAGTGAAGGGCACTATTAGTCTGTGCATGTAGTTCCCCTCATTCCCTAGATGAGGACCCGGAAAGGACCTGTAATACAGCTCTGGCTGCAGCAGCATGAACACCAACAGGCTGCAGACAAGCTTGCTGACAAGCTGTGAAAAGCTGAAAAGGTCTTTGACTCAAATTAGACCCTGGCTGAACAGGAGCATGAGCTGGATGTGTAGGATCTTGTAACATCACATTATTGACTTATTGTAGTGAGTGGGTGAATTGACAGTGAAGTTGGCCTGTAAAATTCTAAAGTGCATTTTCTGGACTCTCCTAAGGGAGTACAGCATGTTTATTCTGCTCCTTGCATGTTCTCTGTTCTCTATGCTGGGATGCAGTTATTTCCTGCTTGGCTGTGTTCCCATTGTTTCTAGAGCCTATTTTTGCAAGAAGTGCTAAAGGGTCTTGGTTGGGGTGACTGTGAAAGGTGAGTGGCATAGCCCATGTACCAATGTTCCTTTCCTGGTGGAAATGAAGTGTGGGTACGGTGAGTGTGTATACCAGCTGAATTCGGGGCAATATCATGGGTGCTCCTGGTCTGTACTGATCGTCTTGATTAAGGTAAGTTTGTACTTGAGTATACCTGCTAAAAGCGCTAGATGACAGCCTTAGATGACAAATAGCTCTGCACTGCTAGCTCTGTCCTTTAAATTTCACAAGCACTTTTTTACTTCTGGAAACCTGAAGCAGATATGAGACAAAGAAAATAGTAAAAAACCTGCTCTCTTTCAAAACAGCTTGAATCTGTGAGGTGTAAGGTTCTTGATAAATGGGAAGAAATTAACATACTGAGACTGGGAAGAAAGAAAGAGTGGTTTATGCTGTGACAATGCATATAGTGGAAACCACTCTAAACTAATACAGGCAAAAATCCTTAATTCTAAACATGTCTTAATAAGAAGTACTGGTGTCCAGGTACTACCATGAGGGATGTTTTAGCACTAAGAAATTGATCCTCAGTGGTCTTTATTTTATCCTCTGAGAACACAATATGTGCCTAGTTTGGGTGCTTCTATGTTCATTGTAGTGTTCAGACTCTGTCCCTGCAGTAGGAGGCTTGTAGGCTGACCCTCACTATGTGAGATGATGATCTACAGACATAGGGGTTATTTCTGTATTCATGCTACAAGTTTGGGGACTTGTAAGCAAATACACATTTAACAGAAGCATCATTAGTTTTAACATGTTTGTTTCTTGACCTGGAGAAACAGAAATGTTCGGGGGGGATTTTTAAGTGTTCCAAGTTGGCATCATCTACCCTTGAAATGAACGCTGAAATGCCGAGTAACTTCAAAGGGGGAGAAATAGGACAGTCCTGATTCCCTTTGAAATCTCCTTTCTAGATGTTGAATTAACTGAATATTACTGCAGATTATTCACTGGCATATATAATGACCATAGCTGTGAACACGTGCCAGTCACAGACAGGAAGGTCAAGTTTAAGTCCAGATTGAATAAAAAGTCTATGATGGATTCTTGATATCAGGTAATTATTTTTTACTAAAAGGACAAATGTTAACATGAATACTTCTTTACAGAATATGTTTTTTGTTTGTTTGGGTTTTTTTTTTTTTTTGTAATTCACTAGGCTCCATCATTATTGGTTGAGCTCTCATAGTCATTGGTGTTGTACAAAGCAAACACTGAGAGACAGGTTTTTATTGCACACTATGCAATCCGAGGTACAGAACTTGCAGAGATTTTTTTTATGCACTAAAATTTGCATACTGCAAGTGGCCTGTGTGAGGACCACTTGAACTATAAAAGCTAGATGCTTGCAAATTTCTGCAGGATTAGTGCATTCAGCATTTACAAACAGTACTCCTTTTCCACTGGCTGTTGTGCAGTTAGAAATAGCACAAGATCTCAATAGAGGCACTTTAACATGTCCTTGTCAGTGGTTACACTGATAAGTGTTCCAGCTGCGTGAAACGAGGAGGTAATTCCATGCAGCTAAAAGTACAGTCAGCATGAGTAGGGCATAGTGTGTCACTCTTAATGGTGGGCAAACAGCAGTTGTTCATGTAAGTCTTATGTTTGACTAAGCATCTAAAAGGTCAAACATTTCTCCAAACTTTCTGTCCTCTGAAGCAGTTATGTCTATTGACAGAACATAAAATTAGTTAATTAATTATACTGAGAATAAAACAGAGCTGCCAAAAAGTCATAGGAAAGCTAAAAAACCTTGTGAAAACCAGGTACAGCCATTGTGTTCTTGTACTATGCTTGTCTGTCTTTAATGACATATTTAAAATAATTATTTTTCTTGCTGAATTTTTCAACAAACTTTGTGCACTGTTACCCACGAGTACAAGACAGAAGTCTGTCACTTGTTTCTAAAGCAATCAGCAGACCTCCAGCATCAGAGAGCTTTGGGGAAGAAGAACTCTTGGTTTATTTAGACAGATTTACTTGGTATCAAGATATTAAAACAATGAGCAGCAGCAATTAGTAATGAAAATTCCTTTTTTTTTTTTTTTTCTCCTGGCAAACAGGAGATCTTGGACTCCATGTGCCTTATGAAATGTTCCTGTGTACACTCTCTAAGATATTCAGCCTTGTGGCATGATAACAAATGAGTATATGAAATCTGGTCCTCTGAAAAAATAGCCACTCTGAGAATTTCCTCTCTTTGCTTTTTTACAACAAATATGAGTATTCAGAAGGTCTTTAAATATAAATTGCTGGTTTCTAGAGTAGTTTTAGGGTGGGAGAGTGGAGGGGGGGCGGGGCTGGGCTTTTTCTGTGCTGTAATGAAAAAGGATAGCCAGCAGATGGCAATGTTGTATAGTTGTTCTAACAGGAGACAGCCACATCATCAAGGGAGGGAAACCTCTGATACTCCGTAAGTAGCCATGAGGGAAAATGGAGTGGCCCCCGCAAGCCATTGGAGGGTTGGCAATCCAAGCATACTTTGGCTGAATGCTAATGTAGGCTTACTGAGTTTGCAATACCCTTTGTAACAGCAATTCTACATTGAAAACCCCTCATTTGAAAGGGCAAGACCATTATAATTTAATAACAATCTAATTAAAATAGTGCATTTCCATATTCTTTTGAAAGCATGATTTCGTAAGGCTGCATAAGTACAATGTGTTCTTTCCCATACAGGTTGCATATTTAAAAAGATAAGTGGGTCTGATGCACTTTCTTTTGCTGGAATGCTGTGTGACAATTTAACTGATCTGTTACTGCCTTTTCAGTCTCAAACTATGAAAATCAACTCATGAAACACGTTTCTCCAAGGCCAAATAAAAGTTATTTCCTTATAACCCAGTGTGGTTCAGGCGTAACGCAAACTAGTTTATACGAGTTACCTTCACTAGGTCTAGTCTCAAAGGACTTGAAAGGTTTTCTGGCTCCAGCAAGTTCCAGGTTAGTCCTGCTGTGTTTTGCCAGCTAGAAAGTAGAAAGGTACAGAATACAATTCCACCTCTCTCTCTCTCTCCTTTTTTTTTTTTTTTTAATTATTTTGGAGAGCTATTATGGTACTTTGATCTAAATATGTAAATCAAAGTTGCAAAAGCTTTCTGCTTCCAGCCGTACTGAAGGCAGGGAAAGGAGGTAAATGAACCTGTGGTACATAACACCAGCATATAAAATCCATGGAATAGCTCAGCAAGAGGAACTTGGAAAGACTTCTTTAAAATATAGGAACAAACAGATGTCTTGAGAGAAGTGAGTAATAGTTTGACTAAAACAATTTTAGGTTCAGCTGATACTCTGCTCCACACTCTGAAGTCTGAAGCTCTGTTTTAGTAACCAAAAAAGCAGGCATCATTTCAGATGTTATTGAAATGTGAAGTACAAAGCTCTTTGCATTTAGGATTTTGTCTAGCAGTTCAGTCTAAAATCTAGAAAGGGACATGGATGCTGAAAGACAAAATCAAATTATTTGTATCACAGTAATTGCTTTAGCAAAAATGATGCTATGAACACCCTTCCTTGTTTACACAGTTAGACCCGGCTTTACTGTCTGTTTGGTTTCCCTCAAGGTAAAAGGAACTGGCAAGAAGAAAGGCTCTATGTTAGACTCAAAGACATATGTAACTTGAGATGTACTGCTAAATTAAAACTCCTGTCACACAGAGACTACTTACTATAATTTATGTCAAGGTTAATGGAGTAAAAAGTATTGGAGTATTTTAAATGCTAAGCAGACATGTTGCCAATTAGCATCACTGCAGATTTTTTCTTATATACTGAAGGATATTTCAATGTTTCTCAACATTTATGTCTTTTTTAAAGGAATTTGAAGGAAATATCACAGAAATTTTAGATAAACTGAAAATCACTCAAGAAAATCAAAGGGGAGTATGAAATGTTCAAATATCTATGTCAGTGTGGTTGAACAAAAAGTGATAGAGTAATGGACATGCCAGTCATAACAACTTGCTGGACCAATGTAAGACAAATTAGTTACTAATAGCAGCTGCATTCAAGTGCTAGTTGCAGAACACACACAGTAGCAGCTGGGAGTCATAATGAGATATTATGGATTTGACTTTAATGTGGCTCAGATTATTAAGTATAAAAAATATGCATAGCGTTTGATTAAAAACTCTAATTGCTTCAGTTTTTTTATTTATAGAATCACAGAATATTCTGAGTTGGAAGGAACCCACAAGAATCATCAAAGTCCAGCTCTTGGCTCTGCACAGAACAACCCCAGGTATCACACCAAGTGCCTGAGAGCGTTGTCCAAATGCTTCTTTTACTCTGTCATGCTTGGTGTTTTGACCATACAGGTACAGAACAGACATATTATGGCACTTTTCAAAGACTTCTGACAAAGTTTTCTGACAATGCCCTGCTGATGGTCTTTTACACCAGACTTAGAGAAGTTCAAGCCCTTCTCTGTTCTGACATTGCTCACTAGTGCCAGTTTTGGTAATTTCTTTGTGCAATGGATTTTTTAATGTTGGGAACTGGCTTGAGATTCTTAAACCTCTTTGACATAAAATGTGTTTTATTTTAAAGGGGTGGACTATGGGGTCATCTCAAGCACTCGAGGTAACATATTTTAAGAAGTTAAAGCGTGCAGGTTTGGTTATTGATGCTGCCTGTCAGAAGTAAATACCAAATATATTTGTTTCTGTTGTGCTTTCAGTATTTTGGTTTAGCACAAAACTGTTTATTCCTGCCATGTTTTTTATGTTCCAAAGCTCTGGATGTTCCAAAGCCTTGGATAAGGATCCATCCAATCTAAAACATGGTGGAAGAGAGGGTATCACAACTTAGTCATCCACTGTCAAGATCATGAGTTGCGCGTACTCGGATAGGTGTATATTTCAACATATTTGGCATAGCTTCAGATTGGTTGTGAGTTTGTAGTGCTGCTTAGAGGTTTTTTTTCCTTACGAGCAAATGTCAACCAGAATTAAGGCTCTGTACGAGTTGAAAAATATATCTACAGAATATCTGAGAAGTCTAGTTTATTGTCAGAACAGAAGGTACCTTTTCACTCATGTGCCCTGCTATTGCCCATGAGCATTTTTGTATCTACAGTTTATCAGTATAAGAAATCACTGCATCCAGGGGTATCAGGTAGTGGCAAGCTTGTGGCATTATAGACCCACTCTGACAAGACCTCAAATCCAATCAAGCTATCATGCAAACTATCATGCAAAATCAACTGTCGGAGCCAAGGTGTTGTCTTGGTGTTAATTATTGTAAGACCATCCTGGTTCACCAGACTTCGAATACACACTCTGCTTTTTGAAGTCTGATTTGACAGATAAACTGATAGCTGGCCTGTATATGTGTGACTAACGGTCAATCACTTAATACTCTAAAAGTCCAGTCTCCTTTCATGCAGTCAGGTTCTTCTGATATAACCCTTCTTGCAGTGTATGTGTGGAGATTCCTCCCCTGGGCTGGGTATGTCCCCGAAGGTTACTTCTTGAAGTTGAGAGAAAGGGATCTCCCCACTAGTGTTGACATGGGTGAGTTACATCAAATCTGTACTTAATAATTATTTCTTTTTGCTAGCTTTAATATAACTGCTTCAATAATTGTTTTGTTACACTGCACTATACTATTCTATGCTATATTATACTCTATTAGTAGATTTTCAACATTTATATTGTGTCATAAATAGTTCTGATTAAGATCTTTTGTCTAACCATTTGTAATAATAAACTATTCATCTTATATAAATATCCCCATTTTGCCAATCATTAAAATCTGCAGGACAAAAGTGGTTCAGTCACACCTCTGTAATTCCTTAGGCCAGTCTTTTATGTTTTCAAACATTAGGTGGACATTATGGAGTTGTCTCCTATTGTTATAACACAACACTAAGAGAAAGGTGTCTCAAATTTAGATGCCAGGTGGTGTCTTGTGCCATAGGATCCCAAAAAGTCACTGTAGGTTCCTGTTGTGTCTGTGGCCTATACACTTCCATGTACAGTTATGAGATTATTGGTAAAAATCCAAAATTATAGACTCCAAAGAACAAGATCCACTAATATAGAAAAGAACAGCTCTATTTTCATCTTATTACCAACACTTTGTGTCAAAGCGGATATGTTTTATTTGCTGACACAGGCAGAAATTTTTACTTTGAAATTGTACTAAAAAAGTAAGGAAAGAATTTTTTTTCAAAGAAAGCTTGAGTCTTACAAAAAAGAATCCTGAACTCAGATCTTATTGAACATAAATATTTTCAATTAAATTAGTTTTTTTTGTTTAAAATAGAAGATTAATAATTCTAGTAATCTATGAAATATTAAAATTAAGGTTAAACTTTAGTTAATTTACTGTTTCTGGCTCTTTGAGAATTGCCAACTTTAGAATTCACAAGATGGTATACAGTTATGGTACACTTTTGTTATTGGAGGGTGGCAGTGTAAACAGCTCTCAATTCAGGAGCTGCTACCTAATGATCTAAGACCACTAATACATGATAATTTCATGAAAATGGAAAGTAACCCACTTTATGATATGAAGTTACTGTATATTACGTTGTTACAATTCCTGGATGGATGCATTCATTAAGCTTAATGAGAGGGATGGAAGGAATTGAAAGAGGACAACACTAAAGCAAAGCATGGAATCTAAATAAGTAGTTTCCCCACAAACAGCATGGAGAGAACTTCCTATACAATGGCAGACATCTAGCCTCCTTAAATTTGCAAAACTTGCTTTTCCAGAGCTGAGTGCCAGTAGATCTAGAAATTTATAGATAATTAAAAAATTATGTGCAAAATTAATAAAGGTTTTTGATTAGTGATAGTTACATTCCCTTCAGGAGCTGAACATATGTCAGGATAGCTGAGGTGCTAAGGATACCATGAAGAACCTCTATGAATAGAAGAGTCCTTTGTTCTTTCCCTTCAAAACATATGGATGAATCGTGGTCTAAGAACATGCACAACAGGAAAGGGTGATAAGACATGATCATACTCGCATCTGCTTATACATTAAAGAACTGTGTGTTTTGTATTTCTTTGATTTTGAATTGAGAGTTGCATGACCTTCAAGTCAGGTATGGGACTTACTGGATAAAATTCAATGTCATTTGACAGACTAAACTGGAAAAAAAGCTAAGCACAGTTCTGTCTGAGAGGATAATAGTATATTTATGGATAGTATAACAGTATATTATAATAATTTTTTTTTGAAAGTTAAAATTTGGGAACGTTATACACGTGGAATAATTGGTCAGCCACAAGGCTATTAGAAATAAAACATCAAGGTAATTAGTGGTAGATATAGTTGAACACAAGGTTAATTAGTCTCATTTGTATGATGTTAATTATTAAAAGTAATCAGCCCTGGGATACTTACAGAACCACTCTCACTAAATGTTTTAAAAAATGTAGCAGAAGGACTTTTACATTTTGCTTCAAGCAGAGCTTATGTATAAACCCTTTAAAGTAGCACACTGTCTTGGGATATTTGCATAATAAGATGCTTTATAAAACGAAAGCCCAAAATTCTGTTTTCCTCCCAGTGTTAGGAATCACATTTCTAGAACTGACATATTCTCTTTCCATAGGACAGATCAGGAACACTGAAACATTAAGAGTAGCATGAGATTGCTGAATCAAAGCCTGTCTTGAGGCATAATTAACAGAAAGCGTCTAATTATCTGAAGTCAAAACTGTATCATCCTTAGCCCTTAATGCACATAAGATAACTTAGATGACATTTAATTAGAGGTAAAACATGGATTAATACTTATTTAATAGCTTTGGTAGAAGCTTCCCTTAGGTGTTAGGAGATTGTCCAGTGAATTGGGGCAAATATTTAGCCCGTGCCTGCAGCTAAATAAATAATTTGCAGCAAACAATTTACTTAGCGAAGTTTCTACTGCTTCTGCAGCAGGAATCTGTTTTCTTCAGATTTAACAGCTATCTGATGAAAACCTTTCTAATTCTCATTTGAGAAATTAAAAACATTCAAAATATAAAAGTTTAACACTATTGTAAATGGATGGATTAAGTCCTATGGTTTTTATTTGTTTTCCTGGTTAAAGGGTTGTGTTCACAGCTCTAGTGGAAGTAGTGAAATTTCTTTTGGACTAAGGTTACCATTCTTATTAGATTTTGATATCTGTCTCAGTATTTCGTAGAATCATTTGTTGTCAAGTCTTAACAGCTCTATTTGATCCATGCCTAAGTCATTGTAGGAAAGGAAGGCAACAGGAAAGCAAGCTCTGCTATGGAAATAATGTCCACACTCTGCATTATGGACAAGTGCCATGGGTAAAAACTATCTTTACTTTCAGTACATAATACCAGATCTAAAAATGATCTCTCTTGGTCTCTGTTCTTTAGAATGCTTTCAAGAGCTGCTGCATCTGGTTGAGAAGAACAGGCAGATGGATGGGAGCTTTTGCCTAAATCCATTCTAACAAATTTCAGTTATCTAACAAGATGATAGGAAGGATGAACCATCCTCTGGAGATTAATCTTTCTCTCTTTACGAGCAACCTCAAGTGCCTGAAATTAGGTGAGTTGGTCTTAGTTGCTTTCGTATGGCTCATAGTGGGAAGACTCCTCAGTGCTGCCTGTGTTTACACTGGGGTATTGATTGTCACTGACTTAGATCTCAGTTTCTGTTCAGTGTTTGTGTTGATTGTATGCTATACTTTTTAGGAAGATGTGGGATCTAACAGAGGGAGTTTTGTTACCTGAAAAGGAAAATGAATTTCTGAAAGTCCAAACGAAAATAAGTAAAGAAAGATAAATACCACTTCAAACGTACTCCTAATATCTCAAGGTTGTGTAAGTGGAATCCAGGCTTGAAAAACTGCTGTTGAACCTCAGAATCAAATATTATAATGCTATGTCAAAATCACAAATTTGTTTTCA